CTGTTTTGAGGAACATCCCTCATTTCACAAAGTAAAAAAAAAAACAGGGGGAAAATCTTTTGGCCACGCTTTTCACAAAGAAATTAACATGAGTCTTTCCAAGTCAGATGATGCGGGGCTGCAAAGATCATGACTAAAAAACCCAAACAAACCTTTTTTTTTTTTTAAAAAAAACCTTTAAATTTACATCCATAAAAAATAAAACCTTAACTACTGCAACACCACACTGGACACAAAAGTAACTAAAACCAGACATTTGTATAAAACCTTATACAAGGTGTACAAGGTTTACAAACATTATACAGGAGCTGCCCAAATATTACTGACTATAATTAGCACTCAAATATCTCAAGAGCAAGGACTGTTTTTTCAGATACAAATACCACACTTACAAACCAAAAATGCTAAAATACAAGATCAAGCCTCTTAACTACCTTTCCCTTCTGAAGACGCCAATAATTCCTGCATGAGTTCTTCAGCCACTAGCTCTGCCACAGTTTCAGGCTGGAGACCCTGCGTGGTGATGAATGCCTGAGCTTTCCTGCATCTGTCCGGCTGATGGGATGACAAAATTGCTCGAAGCACTTTTTCAGGGTCTTGGGCTGACATTTCACTGTAGGAGCAGTTCAATTCCTAAGAAACACACATACACTTAGAAGATTCTACCCAGCAAAAATTCCAGTCCAGAACATATATTGACCTGCAGTACATCATCTTAATGATGAGCTGATGTAAGAGGGGAGTGCTGGAGAAGCAGACAAAACTCAGTTTCAAAAAATGCAAACATAATCTGTCCTTGTATCAGTTAACAGTGCCTTCATCTGTGTGTCTTCAGTATTAATGTCCTCCAGATCAGGATGGTGTGCAAGTACTTTGTATTTGAAGCGTAACACTCACAGAGCTGTCGCCATGGACAGAGATGCTTTCCTGAACCAAATATAAACCTTAACACTTAAAATACCTAGAAGACAGACAGGAATATTTCCTCCCAAACAAAGAATTGTGTTTTACTGCAGAAGTTTTACTTATGAGGTTCCTTTTCCTCTTCTCCACGTACCAGAAACTCTCAGTGAAAAAGATAACACTAGCTTTTACATGTGCTACATTTGGAAGAGGACTTGGTGAGGCTCTGTAAATACTCAGCTGTAACATTTTTGAACTTCACAAATTTACAAATTAATCGAAAAATGTACCTCATGAACGCAACAATCAACCCTTAATTCAAAAGTATGGACAGCCAGCTTCAGGCAAGAAGTACATGGATGGTATAAAAAGGAACAAGCCAGTCATATGACTACTTCTTAGTAGCTCAAACCTAAAGCACTCACTCCGAATACTGAAGGCATGAAAAATTCTGTAGCAAAAACTAAGGACCTCTGTGATAAAGACGATACTAATATTTTCATCACACCCCCCGCTGTTTTTATTCAGAAAAAAATAATGCTACGTTCCAACAATACGGACCAAGTGCCGTGGAAAGGGGTTCTGTACCCCGACAGAAGCGTTCAGCAGCACTCTCTGGAGAAGAAGCAGAGGTGGGCTGCTGGCAGCCACGAAGGTCAAGGAGCAGAGAGGCAGCAAACAACAGTCTGCTACTTCTCCTATCACTGTCTGGGTCAAACCACTTGGAACTTATTAGCCACTCCTCTGAGCAACCTCGGGTAAGGAGCTGCAACTGTGTCCAGCCTGCAGAGCATTTCTATGCTAAAACTTCTAAGGCAGTTGCTATCTCTTTGTCTACTTCTGGGTCAGTGTTGATTATGAAGACATCCCACAACAAAGGCCTAAAGCAAAGTGCTATATGAACAACATATGTTTGAAAGATTATAAAAAAGGCACATCAAAGAGACACAGGCTGAAATCTGGCTTAGTGGAGTCAGAGGTAGGGGCCCGGGGAGTCTGGGAGTTGAGTTCATTTCAACACTTCATGCCTAGGAAGCATCTGGCCATTTTTCCAAACAAAGGCATGGTAATTTCACCCTCTGAAGCTTGTTTCAGGCACCCGATGAGTACTTTCACCACTCTTCATCCTTTCCTCCACAAACTTCCACAGCACAACTTGATACAAACCACTTGTTTCTTCAATAAAGTTACTAGACACATACCTTAGAAAGTTCATATAAACAGAGAACCTGTCTGCAGTAGTTTCTTCCATGGACACATTCATCTATGAGAGCCTTCAAACTGATAACAACCTGATCATCTGGAGATGGAGCCACGATGTGTGTCCAGTCTTCTAAGCTTGATGCTGGAAACAAAAATACTATAAATTGCTTTCTCTTAAAGACAGATAACCCCAACAAGCCTCACGCTTGGAGCAAGACTCCAAATATCTGTAGCAAATACATAATACTTTCTCAGCCTTTGAAAACTGAACTCTTGATACCTGTGACTTCTTAAATTTTTTTTTTTTAAGTTTTAGGGTACAAACAATATGACAGAAGACAAATGAGCCAAAAAATCCACAATAATATCTCAAATGTAAAATTCCTAAACATAAGAGAGCATAAGGGTTCAGCA